AAAAAAAAGGGCGGATGAGAATACCTACATATCTAGTGCCTTATTAATAGCAAAACAATTGATAATTTTTCCTTTAAGCCTGCATCAGACTACGCAACTTGTTGCAGCAATTTGCAAGTAAAAACGCTAGTAAAAATGCACCTATCATACAGCACATATCATTTCTAGTAACTTTACTAGATTGCTTGCAAATTGCTGCAACGAGTTGCATAGTCTGATGCAGGCTTTAGAGGACCAGCGTTTGTGGCTCCCTTAGAAGAGTAGTAAAACTAAATGGAACTAAATATCAGAAGATAATCTCTCATTTCCGGTTTATAAATTTTCAAACAAAATAAATTTCATTAAATACATAGTTTACTGAATGACTGATATACAGAATTTATATTACATGATTGAAGATAATTTATTATTCTCATCCTCTATTGATTCAACTCTTAGTTTATTTAATTAACTAAATAAACTTAATGATAAATATTCAAGCAACATCTATCGAAAAAGAAGGAAACTCGTGTAATTTATTCATTTAACGTAGAAATCAAAGTAAAGTAACACAATTTCGGTATATTATTTTACTCAATAATAGCATGTACTTTTATTTTCATAGAAAGTGATACAAGCATTATTATACCAATACGCAAAAAGTAAAACAATATCAATCAAATAACCAAGGAATAGTGCCATGAAAATAATCGCTTCGTACAACATAATCACGCCGTTTCGTCACATTACAATCATTAAGACGGCACCTACTTGGCACAAGACTGAGTCTTTTGATTAGCTGACGGTGACATCTTTGACAGGTGGTACATTAAAAGTTATGAAATACATAACACATTGTATATTAAATTAGAATTTAATATTAGTCAAAATTTAAATAATAAATCTCTTAAATCTTTTATGTATAATACTACTAACATATTAAACTAGTTTATAATACTAAATTATATATTTTTACAGGATATCTTATATATAAATAAGATAAGCAATACATTCTATAGACTTTACACATATTAAACATATGTACATTTTAATTTTTTTCTTGCTATAAAAATAGTTTAGTAATTCTACAAAAAATGGGCCATTGGATCTTCGTCACGTTTGCGTTTCATCTGATATGCTTCTATCTCTTCAGCTGTCAGTTCCTTTGCCTGGTACATGCTATTGTACGGCCGTTTCCTCTCATCCATCTTCAACAGTCTATCCATCTTGTTCGTACTTTCCTCTTCCTTTCTTAGCGCTTCTTTCAGTTTATCTTCATCTTGCTTCTCAGCATTGTCCCGTTTTCTATTTTTACGGTTCTCTTTTCGTTTTAGTTTCTTCAATTTTCGTTTAGCAGCCTTACTTTGTTTCTCCGTTTTATTTATCGTATCCTCATCTTCCGATGAAGATTCGCAGCTTGAGACATGGTTTTCTTCCATTGTATTTAGTTTAACATCGATTTCTTCTATTCCAGATCTTGTGGGTGAGGTTTTATCTTGCATATTATTACTTGATGCCTCTGCTGCTTTCTTTCCCGATTCTCCGGTGCAATATGAATTCTTGATAAACGAGTAACAGCACTTGTAGCCCCATTTTCCATCCTGCCAATAGGAACCCCAAACTGATGTGTGATTGTTCGGATGAATATCTTCTTCATACTTGGATCGTATCACTTGTCTGTCCTGTCCTTTAATTATTTTACCGTATCTCGAATATTCGACATAATGTTCAGTCTGCGCCAATAACAAAGATTTTGACGGTGCTTCGAGATGCTCCTCGCCTCCGTAACGCTCAATTATGCTGTCACGAGCCTTATCCTTTAACTCGTCTCGTTTCTTATCGTACTCTTGCTTCAATAATTCTAGTTTTGTGGGCTCAGCCAGTAAATGTACGTCGACTCCCTTTTCGTGTGCCTCCCAAGCGAATAATTGCGCGTTGGCATGCTGCTGTGTGTCACCAGAAAAGCGTACAAAGTTCTCACCTTTGTAATCCACTTCACGTTCCGTGCCAGTATAGGGATTGTCTCGCATAGATCTAGTCTTCGGATCGTAATACGCCGAGTTCGGATCAAGATTGCGCAGATATTTAGCAGTGTCTTCTCGAATACGTAGATTTCTCACAGTGATGCGCTGTTTGGAATCTACTTTTGTACCGGGCATGTCCACCTCGTCCACATATTTATCTTCATCTTTATCCGAATCCTGCTCGTCGGTTTCCTCCTCAGCATCGAGCTTCTCAGCACGCATCTGTCTCTTAGCTTCCTCTATCTTCTGGTATTCCTCCACTATTGCTCTATGTTCAGAAGGATCATAACCAGCCCACCTGTCTCTCTTACCATCATAATCCATGGACAACTCAGGCTGGGTAAATTCATCCGGTGCTATTTTTGAATTCGTAAACTTTGCCCCAACCTTACGCGGTCTCTCCATGCAATCCTTTCTCTTATGAGTCATTGCACCACAATTCTCACAAGCGCCCTTGCGATACTTGGTTGCTACTTGAGAGGAATCTACTCCACGATTGTACCATGAGTCTATAGAACTGAAGAGCTTTTGTTTCTCAGGTTGTGGTCTCTGATGCTTCAGAGTAGGACCCTGAGCACCAAAGTACCATGGCGTTGCACTAATATATTGGGGAATATGCGGATTGATATCCTTGCCCTCCTCGTCAACGGCAGCAGGAGCTGTACCAGCTTTCCTCGCCTCTTCCAGTTCCTTTGCTTTTCGCCAATCTTCTCTGCTCTTCTTCCGTGGTTCATCCTCAAACGAGCTCTTGTTTTTCAAGATACTCGACACGGTTGAGTTTGCCGATAAATTAGCCATTGTTTGAAAAATCTTGTAACTGTGTTTGTCTGTTAAAGAAACACAATTATTTAACCTATTTATCTATGTTATGTTTGATTGCATTAAAATTATGCTTCGATTTTTATAAGACTTACTGTTACAGATGAATCAATGACGGAAAAATCATACAATTTCTCTAAATATATATTTTTTTATTATACAAATATGGACTGCCAATTGTTGTACACTTTACTTGCTATTTAAATAATCCAAACTACTTTTCTCACAAGAAACAAAAATTAGGTTAACTAGAGATCATGGAGTACACATGAAGCAGAGAGTTATCAAAGAATCGTAACCCACTCTTGAAAACAATAGGAGATGTGTATGCACCTTTATGCATATTTCTTTTTAAAAGAAAAGATGGCGTTATTGGACAACTTATTTGCGCATGCACATTCCGTTTTCAACTAAGCTTCATCAAAGGTATCGTAGTTACTCTATGGATTATGCGCTCATATGGGCTCATATCGACTGTAATTATAAAACATTCGGAGTAAAATGTTGTCGAGATTGGCACTTCGTAATGGTAAATATCAATTGCAATACTCGCTATAACATTTTCACAATACGTTAAATACAGAAAGTGAATTTGATAGATATTAAAAACAATAGATTTCGTCAATTTTTAAATTTACTTTTATTATTATGTAATGACGTATTCCACGATATGTCGTATCCTTTTTTTCATCTCATATGTCCTAAGTTTTATTTATATATTATATACATATATATAATTTTATGATATTTAAGTTTATATGATTCCTTTTTGGAAATGTTATAGAGTTATGTGTCTTCTATTACCATATATTTCACTAAGATGGATAAAACAGGATAAAATTATTTATGATAATGTTATACATTTGTTCTAATATAGCTCAGTTGCTACCTTTAGCTGTACGTGGAGCTGTAGCTACACAAAGTTCTTCTTCAGCAGAATTTACTCGTCCTAAACGTTTAATTGATCCTTCTCCAGTCAGACATGGTTTCATACCCGAGGAATGGTTTCAAGCTTTTTATCCTAAAACTGGTGCATCGGGTAAGCAATTTATTGTATTCTAATAATCAAGTAGACTGCTTCATGAAATAATCAATATTTATATGGAATATGATGAGTCTTTCAGAAAGTGTATAATTTCTTGTATAAATTATATTATATAAAATATATTTTTTAAATATAAATCTATTTGTGATATAATCTATTATTTTAATTGAAAATTAATGTTTTTTTTTTCATTAAATTTAGATAAATTTAAATTTGTATGATTATCTTTCAATATTTTATTTCAGGGCCATATGTATTTGCCATAAGTGTGGGCACTTATTTAGTTTCCAAAGAAATTTATATTCTAGAGCACGAATATTATAATGGGCTGGCTCTGTTAATTATATATATAGCAGGTGTAAAAATGTTTGGTCCAAAATTGGCTGAAGTATTGGACAAAGAAGTAGATAAGTATAGTAAGGAGCTTAATGAAACTAGAGACAGCGAAATAAAGAGCTACGAGGAACTTATTGCACATGAAAAACAAGAACAATCGAGTTTGGAGGGACAAAAATTGATAATGGACATAAAGAAGGAGAATATTAAGATGCAATTGGAAGCAACTTATAGAGAACGTTTGGTGCAAGTTTATCAAGAAGTATGTATAACAGTTTTTTTTTTTGTGTATAGTAAATTAATAAGATAATTGCAGAAAAAATGTAGCATGATATAGATTCATATGTGATTTGCACAAATTTATATTAAGTAAATTTGTTACATAAAAAATACTTATATTTTTAAAAATTATATTAAATATAAAGTTTTCTTAATATAGTTTATAATACAACAGTATATTTTTAGTGTATCAGATTTTTCCATAAAAAGGAAAAAATAGAATATAATTTAAGAAACTTTGCTTGTTGATTATAGGTGAAAAGACGTCTTGATTACCAAGTACAAATACAAAACCTTGAACGCCGAATTGCACAGAAGCACATGGTCCAATGGATTGTAAATGAAGTATTGAAGGCTATCACCCCTGATCAAGAGAAAGCAACTCTTCAGCAGTGTATCAAGGATCTCGAAGCACTTGCTGTGAAGGCATAAAGCAACTTTAAATCGTTAAATTAGATGAAATAGAAATATGATGGCAGAATAAGAGAAGTTGTCATCACATATGGTGTTTATTTCGCGCAGTCTATAAAATATTTCAGAGTATTTCAGAATCATTGGAACATTGTAAATGAATAAACGCCATATTACACAAAACATTACTGTATAAATAAATCTTTTTTTATCAGTAATTATGAAAAATTATAAATTTTGCTAAATGTTAGTTAGGCAAAAGTTTGCGTAGAATAAGAACATTGTAGGTATTAAAATGTTAAGAGACTTTTACCAATGTTGTTAAAAATATTTTCTTTTTTAAACACAACTTATATACAGCAATAATACAACATTTTATTTACAAATAATTGTCCCAAAATGACAATTTTTATATGTATACCTGACGTTTGACAAATCGGATACAGAACAGAAAAATTAAAGCACCCTCTACAGACGATATCGGGGAATTAAGTACAGTCGGATCAAGTCGGATTTCAATCTTCGGACTTCGTTGTTAGGTTAAATTTTACTTAACCCTAAATCCGTGATATCCGACGAGAGAACGAAACATTTTTCGAATCACGCAGTTCTCATACTGTCATCATCTTGTTCGTGATACGTGCAACGTGTATGACTCCGCATTGATACATATATGTGCCTAATCGAGAAATATGGCTTCGAAAGAAAGTAACTTACCCGCTTTGTACACCGAATTATATAAATTTGGACAAAATGGGGAATATGAGAGGGCTTTAAAAACCGCAAATAGAAGTAAGCCAAGTTAAAATTTGGTTCACAAAAATAAACAGTCAGAAATTGCAATGTAAATAATCAGCACTTTGAGGTTGTAATGCTTTCATATTATTTCACATATGTTGTAATTAAATTCATACCATGTGTTAAAATTTAAATTCAGTGAAAAAAAAAAACAAGAAAATACATCATTTAGAGTTAATTCACATTCTATCTTTCAGTATTAGGTATCTCCCAAGATGAAGAAGCAGCGGTTCATTGCAAAATTATTTGCTACATCCAGCTGTCCAAATTCAACGATGCATTACAAACTATTGTCAAAACCCCAAAATTGGCAACGTATGAAGATACTATTTAATAACATTATCTAACACATTACAATACACATAACATTTCTTATATTCTCTTCTCTGATCTAGGAACTTGGAATTTGAAAAAGGATATTGCCTCTATCGTTTAAATCAAGTTCATGAAGCATTAAAAGTGATAGAAAATGTGCAGAACCCTTCTTTGAGAATTAAAGAACTAAAAGCACAAATATTGTATCGCTTAGAGAAATATGAAGAATGTTTTGCTGTATATAGAGATATTATAAAGAATTCACATGATGATTATGAAGAGGAAAGGGAAACAAATCTTGCAGCTGTTCTTGGAAACTTGGCAACTGAAAACTCTGTATGTCCCATATATATTAGGAAACTACAAGAGTGTTTAATATTAAAATGTATCGATTGTTTTAAATGCAAAACTGTTATTTCTAGGATTTAGAAATTCCTTCATTACGTGAACATACTTATGAATTAACATATAATGCAGCTTATCGTTTATTGGCACAAAAAAGCAGAGATGATAAAACTATTTTAACAGAAGCAGAAAAGAAATTAAGAACTGCTGAGAAAATGTGTAAAGAAGGTTTAGAGGAAGATGGAGCACTGGAAGAGGAAATTGAAAATGAATTAGGTGTAATTCGAGTACAACTTGGCTACTGTCTACAATTACAAGGTCGAGAAAAAGAAGCGCAAACATTATACACCGCTGCTTTAAAAGCTAAACCAGATGATATTGCATTAGTTGCTGTAGCTAGCAATAATTTAGTATGTCTGAATAAAGATCAAAATGTTTTTGATAGTAAGAAACGAATGAAAAGTGCCACTCACGAAAGTTTGGAGCACAAATTAACTTCCAGGCAAAGAAGAAATATCGCATACAATCAGTGTTTATTGGCATTTTACACTGATCAAGTAAGTCTGCTTATTCGATATTATATTATTAGTTTTATTATTATTTACAAAGGTAATACGCTCATACATTACATATTTTCAGGGGGAACAATGTCATCAACTGTGCAATAATCTTGCGAAAGATTATGCTGCGCTTGCAGCAGATGCAATGTTTATAAAAGCTGTACAACTTAGTAAGGAAGGTAAACCGAAAGAAGCAGCGAAACTATTGACCGAACATGCTGTCGGTGAAAAGGAATTGTCTATGAAATTGGCTAGTGTACAAGTACTTCTAAGTCAGGATGAAAGAAAAGATGCAATCGCTATTTTGGAGAATTTAAACGAAAAAGACAAATCGCTACCTGGAATAGTCAGTGCACTCGTTACACTTCACATGGCTGATAACGATCGAGAAAAAGCGTCGACTGTTTTAAAAAATGCAGTTGCTTACTATAAAAAGAACAAAGTATACACTCAATATACATCGTTATATTTGTTTCATGGCATTTTTCGTTAAATTACACAAAATCTTTTTTTTTCAGTACATCACTGAAAATTTGGGAGAATTATGGCGACAAGCTGCCAATTTTTATTTACGTGGTGGGGAACTCAAGATTGCTGCCGACATTTTGCAAGAGTTAGTAGACGCTTCACCATCCGACACCAAGACATTAGCTCAATTAGTGGTCGCTTACGTACAGTTCAGTCCCGCTAAAGCACAATCACTATCAAAAAGATTACCACCGCTCCATGATCTCGCTGAAACTACTGACATTGACGCATTGGAAAGTAGCAATTGGATTATCGGGACTAAAATAGTAAAGAAGAAAATCGAGCCTTCTCCTGGGTAAATACAATTATTTTAATCTTATTTCGTTACAAATAATAATATAATTATATATACATAAATTTAAAATTCTATAAATATTCTATATGTTCTGATGTATGTTTTACTAGTAAACCAATGTCCGATGTAATACAAAAGAAGCATAAAAAACGTAAACGAAAGGGTAAACTGCCGAAGAACTATGATCCAAACGCCACGCCGGATCCAGAACGATGGTTGCCGAGACACGAGCGTAGTGGATTCCGTAAAAAACGAGATAGAAGAAATAGAGATACTACTATGAAAGGAACACAGGGAGCTGCTACGGGAGCTAGCGATCTCTAGTACGTATAGTCCAATATGTACTTTTATTATAATGTATGATAAATTTTTATAAAACTAATGTATTTTTTGCATTTCAGTGACATCACTAAAATGCCTGCAAACGCCAAGCCATCGCCAAATCCTCGTCATAGTCCAGCAGTGGAAACTTCTGGACCACGTCAGCAGCAACGTAAAGTTCAACAGAAGAAAAAGAAAAAAGGTGGCAAATGGTAACGATTCTCGTATCATTCCATCAAATTCATGTTCTTTTGATATATAAATTAGATTGCATAATATTACGTAACCCATTGGAAATAAATTGTTATTGAAGAATACAAGCAAGGAAAAACAATCAAATGTATTTGCTACCATGTAGCTATTTTATGAAACGCAAGATGTAATACTGCCATTAAAAAATGAATGAAAAAAATAATATTGTACACACATACACACACACACACGCACGCACACGCGCGCGCGCTCGCGCACACACACACACACAACGTGTGTATTATTAAAATATGTTTACAATTTTCTTATATAGATTTCTCATCCACAAACCTTCAATGAATCTTAATACATTTGAATGCACTTGTTTATAAATGGTATTCTTACATATATTTCATTATCAACGCCATTTTTTTATTTTGCAAATGTTGTTTGTAAAAGTCAAAAAGAAAAAGTATTTATGTTGACTATATACAAATACAATAGACAAAATTAAATTTAGCTCTGGAAAATATTTTTATTTCTTCTCTCTGAGATTGCTTTGTCAACATGTGACATATCAATAAATGTATGCAACATATGTGTATATTGATTAAAGATAGCCGATATATATTTTTATTTCATATTGGTAACAATTGTATATAAAAATACAATCTGTTTTCCACACATGACAACTCTGTAATATGAATAGATAATGCGATTGTGCGTTGATTTGTAATATTTGTATATGTAACAGATACATAAATGGCAATATATATTTAAGTCAGAGTTATAAAATGTTTTATATTATTGCAATAATTTTATAATGCCACAATGTTTCCAATAAATATATTGTGTTATGAAATTATAAAACTTTGTAAAAGTATATTTTGATATATTATTATGATAAATATGTGTGAAAAAATTCAGTCATTAGTGGCAACTCAATTTATTGTTTGCTCTTTTGCTTCCATATAACTGTTATTGATTGTGACAATCACACAGAGGCTTAAAAGTTTTTTTAATTTATTGTCTTGTGATCAAACTGTACTATGTATTTATCGTTCTATTATTTATATAAACTCATAACACAGTGGTGTTATCAAAATGATAATGTCAAATATTTAACTTTCAATTTTTTAAATATTATAAGCGTGAGCCACTATACTTATAATTTCGACGTCAGATTTTCACTCTAAGCAATCAACGCTATTATAATATCCATCAAAAAAAAGATTGCACATTCATATATATAAAAAAATGTAAATGACATGGACGTACCGCTGATCCTTTTTACTGTTAATTTTTCTTTACGTAAATTTATCTGTAAACCAATGATAGTCCCAATATTTTTCAAAGGATAATTAACTTGAATAATTGAATATTTACCAAATATAATTATAACGATAAATTATCGCGAATTTGTTATAAAACCAGCAAAAATATGTATACATATATGTATTTTGTATACGTATTTAACTTTTTCTATTTATGTTTATAAAGGATATAGATGAGATATATAAGTAAGGCACAAATATACGCAAGTGCGCTATAGGACTGCGATTTCTTATAGTGAAATCTTATAGCGTTTTCGATTAAATAAATTTGGATTGATCTGAGAACGATTAATCGCAATTTACCATGAACTTACGTTCAAATATTTTTCTTTTATTTATTGGGATATTAGTTTATTAAAAACTTATTTAAAGAGACAAGTCTTATATTTATTGCACAATGTCCTTTTCATGTTGTAAAACTTCGATCGAACATAATCTGGTTTTTAATCAAGTCTCTAATAACCCACGACAGAAATCCAATGGTCTGTCATTAATCGCTCCTGAATCGATCCATTCAGTCGAAAACGCCATTAAATATTGATCGCATATTTTAACGTGTCAATAACATTGTAAAATTTCCAGCAAGAAGATACAGACAGCAAGTTTTATTATATCATTAATAATTTACTGTTTAATTAAACTTTAATTGATTTAAGTTGTTAAGAGAAAAAGAAAAATTGAAAAAAAACATTTTAGCGTTCAATGCCACATCAAATTTTGGCATCAAAATTTTTTTTTAATTTTTGGAGAAGTTTTTACTATCAGTTAATCATAATTCATAAAAATAATCATATAATCGTAATTCCAACATAAATTTTCGACTCTACGTTGCAACTATACCAATTTGTATTATCATAGGAAAACAAATTGTTATATCGATACTGTATCACACTCTGTAGACTGCTTTCTTGCTGGAAAATATCCATTATGCATGATGACTAAAACCCGCGGCACACGGTACTATTTTCTCTGCTGGATTGCTAACGTGTGCCTGTGCTGGCAATCTTGCTGTCTGCTAGACTGGAAATTGTGTGTCTACTGGTCACGCTACTGACTGATATGCTGGATTTCCATGATAGAACAGGTGCTATTTTTCTTGCGTGATCCTGTGCTGGCTCATTGCAAGAGCCAATCACGACACAACCTCATTTAGTTAGGTTAAGTTAAGTTACGTGGAAGTATTCTCTTGGTTGATGTTAGTATTGTTATACATTAACAAATATGATGTCCATAGCAAATTGCAAAGCAAAAATTAAAAATAATGCAATTAGATTTTTTTATGTTGCACTGCAATGGCAATGGTCTACTCCATGTTTACTTCAGTTTGCTTAGCCAGTATGGAAACCCGCATCGTCTGAAGCCAAGCCAACAATATTGCCAGTAGCACTGCCAGCACTGCTGCCCACACGATAGCAAGTACACACATCTAGTTAGCAATCCAGCAGAGAAAATAGTACCGTGTGCCGCGGGCTTTAGTCACGATAATGTATATGATGAAGTACAAACAATCTCTCTATAAGTAGTCCTATATTAACAATATGTAATATTACTTTGCAGGTATTATGCCTTCCCAGACATCCTCTCGTTGTTTATTGGCTAATCGTTTTTTTTCTGCAACACAGAAATCTGTTTTAAACTCTTTTCAATGTCACATTTCTTATTATATTATATGCAAATCCAAAATTTTTACCTTTGGCTTCACGCAATACATTCTTTTCGTGCTCACGTTCTTCTCTAGCTGTAGCGAGTTTTACGCCCAATGCACCAGTAACTAATCTTCTAGCTAAGGCGGCGCATGTTTCAGGACGATTTCTATAAGGTTGCAGAAATTCTGCACTTTTTCTTGCCTTTGCTTTACTTAAAGCGGTAGCTTCGCTAAGTGGTCTCGTTTTCACGAATGGATGATTTGATGCTAACACTTCAGCAGCTTAAAAAAGAAGTAATAAATTAACTACGATGCAATTGATTATAATTAAAAATTTATAAATTAACATAATGTGTCAATATTAGTTTGAATTATTGAACACACATACCAACAAGAGGACTGCTAAAAACTCCCAAACAATGAGTATCGTCTACCCACTTCAGTTCAAAACCACCATTCTTGAAAGAACTAAAAACAGCTGCTAAATCGCTAGTTTTGAACTCTGAAGGAAAATTGTAAATTTCTATAACGTGTGCAAATTCATCGCTAGACACTTCGACTTGTTTGCTGTATGTCTTGTAATGATTATTTGGTTGTTCTATCGCCACTTCACCTACTGCTGATGTAAGCTAAACAGAAAAAAGAGGTAATCGATTAATTGCATACAGTAAGATAAGCAAAGGCCGAGTTATTAATGGCTTAAGTGTAAAAAAAATAAAAATGTTTCTTTTTAAAACAAACTAAAAACAACTTCCATAGAAAAATAATTAAATTTACATCCGTCATTAACACTAGCGACCAGTTTCCAAATAACGTATGTTAACATTTAAGAAATTAACATTAACATATACCTACTTCTTCTATCAATGTCGGATCTAGACAATCTCCATTATCATCAAATAAATTATCCCAATCGCATTCGTCTCTGTTTATCTTCAAAGGTGGAGAGGGCGGTGGGACCGGTTTACTCTTTTGCCTTTCTATTTTCTTGACTTTTTTTTCAGGTGGCATTACAGTCGAAGATACTTGTTCAGAATGTTTCAAACCTTTTTTACTATCGGCGGAAATTACCAAAACATCCGATACTATATTTTGTTCAATTAATTGTTCGTTTTTATGTGCTATTACATCATTGCAATTTAAATGTTCTGCTGAGGACTCGTTTTCTGCAACAGTTTCTTGCATTATTTCTAATTGTTTATTATTTATTGCAACTTTGTCAGATGATTTTAGTAGATTTGAATTAACGCTATTTTCATTAAAATTATCAGTCGCAACTGATTTTTTCTCTTCTAATAAAGTTGGCACATCTTTCTCCAATTCTTCCAATAATTTATGAGCACGATAACGCTCGGTGTTATCGTGCGTATCTGAAATTTCTCCAGAATCTAAAAGAACTACATTCTTTAAAATCTCTTGCGGAACATAATTGTTTTCGATCTCTTTGTTACGATTCTTAGAGATTTTATTTGAACTTGAACTGCCTATACCTTGTTGCGTACATCTGATAAGCACATCTAGTTTAGAATTATTGTTCGTAGTTGAATCTTTGTTTGATGCTTCATGTCTTGTAGGACAGACTCTTGGATTTTGCTGCTTCTTTTCTTCAACTTCTAAACTTCTTCGATGTCTGGGTACATAAACCGCTCGATCGGGTCGTTTTTGTCGTGCATTCCTGAAAACATATATTGATAAAATATTTTGAATAATTAGCATAAATTGTATATTCTAAAACGAGTAATAAAGAACTTCTGATTCAAAATCCCGCGTTATTAAGTAACGATTGCGCATAAACAAATCAGTAAGACTTACTTGATCGAAGAAGAATCTCCAATCGATTGTACTTGTGTGCTACTTGTTTCTGAAGAATTGCTAGCTCTCCTAGCCGCCGGTGGCCTATAAATTTCGACCGATGGTACTGATTTGGCTAAAAAAAAATAAAAATCTAAAATGTCACATTTTTTAAAATTTTTTCAAAGTCTATCACTTGGCGCGTGTTTTTATTATCAATTAATTTACATTTATATTACATTATATTATTTATTATTAATTAATTTACATTATAATTACCTTGTCGTTGTAATTGTTTGCATTCTGGAGACGTTGAAAGCGATCGTCGATCCTCGACACCCATCCCGCAAGTAGTGTCCGTTTGTTTCGTTGTAGAATTCGTTTTCCACTCAAGAGCATTCGGTTTTGATTTCCAATCGCTTTAAAACGTAAATGTAAATGAGATGTTATTTTTTGGAATATATAATTTTATTCAAGACGGTTGTTTATATCATAATTATAATTAATTGTTTTCTAACAAGAAACATGAATCAACTTTTCTAGAGCAATTTTTACATAATTTAAATGTCAATGGCTAAACATTGAACTGTCATTTGAAATCATTGATGGAAAGAAAGACAAATTGTTTATGTATTTATGACACATTTACATACTCAACATATGAGCACAAATAAATTAGCACAAACATGTGGCGCTAAGTATTTATATTGCAGATTTTAAGTTTATATACTCTAACAAATTGTGCAGACTTGATTAAATAAATTGTCACTTGAAATGTTGTTGAACTTTAAACGCGTTTTTCTTACGTCATTAGTTTTTTCATAAATTAAGTCTCTTTAGAGATTACATATAATATTTGGTACTTTGTAATTTGTACCTTCTCATATCACTCTTGTAGCATACTACGGTACGTCTGGCCAAACCTTGACCAATTGAGAACGTTTGCAGCAAAGGGAAACGATCCTGCACCAGCTGATGTATTATATATCGGCGATAGTTATTGACAGGTGGAAAAACAAGTGCTCTGCAAAAGTAAAAAGAAAAAAATGCATTTATTCACTGAAAGTGAAATTGAACAAACTGTGTCGCTGTGTGAAATATTGGGAGCTATTTCATTTGCTTTGGTGAACATAACACCTTACGGCGCTGAGTTCGAAACGTAGATGGAAGGGGAAGGTGGGGAGACAAACGCCAGTTAACTTTTATGTAATCCATTCACTTTCTCCTTCGTTCGTTTCCAAGAATTTACGTAGCAGACATTAGTGTTTGTAATTTATCGTTGGACTAGAAATTTTCTTTCAAACATTTTTTTTCGGCCTGATAATCATTGAATAAAACGTACATGCCGTTGACATACAACCATGTGTTATAGCCGTCGAATATTTTTTTTTATACTGTCTTAAAGTAACAAAATGGTAACAAATTACGACATACTTAATTTTTCAATTTGGGCACTATTTTTCAACATTGACGTAGGCCAACTTGATACTAAACTGATCCCTTCCTTTCGCTTATTGCCTGCTAAACGATTTATTCGAATAGAGCAAAAAATTCACAAATATATAGCATTGCTATGTTTAATTCAATGGATCATAAATTTTACAATCTTAAATCAACTTACAGTTAATCTAAATTGTTCGGAGACCATGTGTGTCCACTTAATTTGGCAAAGCACGTACGTACACAGCGATACATCAAATAAGCGAACCTATATTTTACATGTCTTAACTACTAATAAATATATGAGGAAGCTAACCTGCAAAGATGCATCATTGTCTAGCATAGATGCCGACGCCGACACCGACGTCGACATTTTAGTAGTGCTTTAACAAGATCGTTCATCGTACCTCTTGCGTGTCTTATTCCTCGTAAAGATGGTTATGTCATATTCGACATCTTCAGAAAACAAGCTATCTTGCAAACTCATTTATCAAAGTGGTTTCTTGCATCCACAAAGATACATTTGCGAGTGTCAATATGCACTTGAGCGTAACTGTTAGTTTATCACACAAAAATTTGCGCCTTCGTTTCAATTAATTTTCATTTTTAAAAGCTGTATCCCATGCAATCCCATAAAAAAACTTGTATATACATTATATATGTATGTATCAGATACGTGTACGCACCTGCTACACACTTTCGTAATGTTCAATTCACACTGCGTTTGCTGTACATCAGATGTCCAATAAAAGAATTTGTTTTCTAGGGTCTGAAATGACGTTAAATAAAGTTTCTAAAAAAATTACATTTCCTATTGGATGTCATATATTAAACGACGGATGTTGATCAATCAGATTGCTTTAGGGTAAATTTGATCATTTTTATAATTTTCGCTACATTGCGTGATCGATATCTAGGCATGTGAATATCTTATATTTCTATATATAGTTTAGACTTTAAAAAATATATTAATTTTATGTATTTAAAAAAAATATATATCGCGTTTACAGTATAGTCATGTTGTATTTCTGACAAAACTACTTTTATGGTTATTATTTGCATGGATAACCATCGAAGTGCGCATACATATATCTTCGAAATATATAGATAATAATAAATAAAAATATTTATACTAGTTTTTACTAGCTAACTGCTGAACGTCACATGCAAAGTATTTTATCGGAAACAAATCTAATTTACTGTCCACATGTTTTGAAAACCACTACATATTCTACATGATTGAAAGTGGAAAGTATATATATATAATCTTCACAAAATAGCCACTTATGCCTCTTACGTCAATCGTGATGCGGTGCAAAAATGATATATATATATGTGTGTTATATATAGTAAATTGCAATCGGCGTATCAGTGATACGCGGTTGCAGGCTGTAGGATAACCTTTGTGCGCGCGCGTAACTCCGTTTTTCGGTACCTCTTCGCATATTTCTATTTGCATTTTGATCGCGGAATCACAAGAGATTTTCTCAATTCCATTGTTATTAATCATATTACACTGTTACTCCGCATTCACGACATGAGTACCAGATTTACAGGAATAAAATTGGGGCCTCCCATCGAGGTGTTCGCACTACAAAAATCGTTCATCGATGATACGGATGAAAACAAAGTTAATCTTGCTATAGGAGGTGTGTAACTAATTTCTTTTTATGATTACTACGTTCAAAATAATCTCATATTAATTTCAACTAATAATCTCATATAAATGAAAAATAATGTTAGAATTAGATTTTGTTTCTCTTTCTTTTTAGAGCATGTATACAATTGATTTAATGTATGTTTGTTTATAATAATGTTTGCATTAAAAAATTTAACATATTTTATAATGATAAGCATAAACTGATGCAAAATGGGTGGGATATATCTTTATCTCATACTTTGTGCCCTTGGTTCACCTTTCAGAGTGATTACATAATGTGTTATTCCATTCACACAGACACACACACACACACACACACACATACATGTTCACAAAAATCTTATTTCGCTTTTGAAAGTTCACATAAAATAAATAGAATAAATATATTATAGAATTCCTGATTTTAAATTTAAATTATATTGTATAGTTGATAAAAAGTAAATATAACCAATTAATTTTTTTAAAAGATGAATAGACAATTATTATATATACGCATACTTAAAATATAAATTTTTTCAGCTCTAATAAAAGTTTGATTCATGTTCTTTTTTTACAATGATATGTTGTATAGATTTATGTAGGCAATTCATTACTATGATATTGTATGATTGCATTGTAATTACTTATTAATAATTATTTACTTCTTTTTTTAGCATATCGCACTAATGAAGGCAAGCCATGGGTCCTACCAGTTGTAAAAAAGGTAGAAAAGTTACTTGCTGCCGATGATCTGCAAAATCATGAATATTTACCGGTTCTTGGCTTGGAGGCATTTAGCGAAGCTGCTACAAGTATGTTACTAGGTGCAAACTCTCCTGTTATCGCCCAAGGACGTGCTTTTGGCATTCAGTCCCTTTCTGGTACTGGGGCATTACGTGTTGCTGCCGAATTTTTAAGTCGTATTCTACATTATGATACCTTTTATTATAGCAAACCTTCCTGGGGTAAGTAAATTTAAGGGATAATATGTTATTTTTGTTTCTTCTTTTAATGAGAATTTCTATGTATATCAAGATTATGTGTTGATAGAAAATCATAGACTTGTATTCACTAATGGAGGATTTAAAAATGCATGTGAATATACATATTGGAACGAAAAAACCCGTAATATCGATTTAGAAGGAATGCTCAATGATTTGAAAGATGCTCCGGAAAATGCTGTAATTGTTCTGCATGCGTGTGCACATAATCCCACTGGATGTGATCCAACTCTAGAACAATGGGGTAAAATAGCTGATCTAATACAAGAAAAACGACTCTTCCCTTTATTTGACAGTGCATATCAGGTCAATATCTAATCATTCTCATATAGATAATACGATTATCTCAATTATCTTTGTAATATGTTGAAGTGTTGTTGTTCATTTTTCAATAGGGCTTCGCAAGTGGAGATTTAGATAAGGATGCATGTGCTGTACGAATGTTTGCTGAACGTGGAATCGAATTCATATGTACACAAAGCTTTGCCAAAAATTTTGGATTATACAACGAAAGAGTCGGTAACATAGTTTTTGTGTTGGCTGATACAAAGGAGCTGATTCAAACTAAATCACAAATAACGTTAATTATTCGAGGAATGTACAGTAATCCTCCTAATCACGGTGCTCGAATTGTTTCTACAGTGATGAGAAATCCAGAACTCTTTGAAGAATGGTATTGTTTCATGAAATATCCCCCCCCCCCCCAAAATAAAAAAAATGTAATTATTCTAATTATTACAATGATATTTTAGGAGGGACCACATTAGGACAATGTCCAGCAGAATTAAACAAATGAGAGTCGGTTTACATCAGAGACTGCTCAAATTAGGCACCCCAGGTATTTGGGATCATATTATCCAACAGATTGGAATGTTCTCATACACAGGGCTCACTGGTTAGTTGTAAGAATTATATATTTTTAGTTTTATAATGCTGTTTAATAAGAATAATTATGAAAAAAGAGATCTTCCTGTTAAATCTGTTTTCAGAAAGGCAAGTACAACATTTAAAAGAGCATTATCATATCTATATGCTACGCAGTGGGCGTATAAATATGTGTGGTCTCAATGAATCCAATTTGGATTATGTGGCAAATGCGATCGATGAAACGATAAAGTTGTTCCCACAAACACAAAGCGATTGTACGTGTTAAAACAAGTCCTCAATACTATCAGTACAAATTAAGAGAGAGTCAAACCTCAACATTGAAAATATGGCAATATTTTATATATATATATGACAAAATTTAGCCCAATTAATACTCAGAAAAGTGATTATTTTTGAGTAATATTGGTATTTATTATATGAAGTTACATACATTGTGTCTTCAAAATTATTCTATTTTGAGATCAAACCATTTGATATATGGATATCTTTCTTACGGTGAATTGTTTCTTCTGTTTCTTTAATACAAAATTTTAAAATATAAAAGTGCAAATTATTGCAACGTATTACATGATGCCAAATTTTTTTATATACATATGTTGGTTATGTCATTTTATTATGAGAATTATTTCATATTATGTATAATATATAATCCATTATTACTATTTCCTGCAGCTATATTAAATTATAATATTAAAAGTGAGAAATTATGAATTTTTTGTAACATACATCGAAATAAACTAGTTTTGTTTTTGCTTATTATCATTTATGTTCGATAATATAGATTTGATAAAATATATAGAAAACTCCTATTTTTATTATTCTGTAATAATAAATGCATATATAATTCAGTATGTTTTAAATTTCCAGCGGAAATGGATTTTATGATAATTAACCAAAATTTATTAATTTACAAGCTATTTATCTATAAACTAACGAAAAAAATGAAGTTTTCAATATATTTTACAAATTTATATTGTAAATGCCATAAAAAATTTAATACAATTTCTTGCTTCTAATATCATAACTTGGTAAGATTGCAGTGATAAATCAGGATTTTTTAGATTAAAAATGAATTATATGATAACTTAGAAGCTATCATGCAGCAATTTTGCTGAATGTTTTAAAGTAACAATTGTAAATGTGAATGTAACTTGTTCAATATTAGAAGCTTTATATTTTTAATTATATAATTTTATAGTGATTTTATTGAAATTAGTAAATGAGATAAAGAATATATTTATATTTATAGATAGATAGTCTGCAAGAAAAAATTATTTTTTTTATATTTTAGTGATAATAATTTTGATCCATTTTAGCAGTTAATCTCTTGATAAAAGAATTTATTTATGTATTAAATTTAAAGATGCTTTCTGCATAATAGTAATACATATCTACATATCTAATATTGTTACGAGAAGAATAGAATCACAATTGATGTAATAATATTATTACAATTAATCAATGTCGAAACTTTATTAGCATGTATATGGAAAAGATTACTCTTCGTTTTATGCTATTGTCGATTTTTGAAGAAGATACAAAAAAAAAAACGGAAAGTTAATGTTTGTAGTACGTCAAAAAAAAGTTATTGATACTAGAATATAGTAAAATAACAATACTCTAGTTAGCGATATTCACTACTCCTTAATTACAGTGGGCTTCCTTATCTGTGAATGAATAAGTGAACGAATGAGAAAAATAGGGAAAGAGAAGAAGGAAGATGGAGAATAAGTGAATAAATGAAAGAAAGAGTATACATGTATACACGTACGCGCACGTGTGTGTGCGTATATGTATATAAAAACTAAATTATACATATCCTGTTAAATTGTTATCATTACAAATATATTGATAATTGGATGAAATAAATTGATAAATTAGATATTTGTTAAAAATAACTCTTATATGTGAAAAATAATATACATGCGCGCACACACATAAACACACAATTAGTAATGGGAATATATTTTTGTGATAACTAATTTTTAAAAATCAGGTTCAACATTTTACATTAATTCCCACTGATAGTCACAAAAGAGAAATGTGTGATATTATTGAAAAGAAACATCTTATACTGCCAATATATCAATTTGCAGTAAAATTTGTATAAATTTATATAGACAGTTATTAATATTTTGTAGAAGAATCTAAAATTCTGTGTAAAATTAAGTTTGTCATATATGTATGTGTTCTATAATTGTTGCCAATAGGATATTTGTGACATAAATATTCAAATATTTATTTTTCACATAAAAACTTTGCTATATAATGATTTTATATAAGGTTTTTGTATTATATGTAACAATTGCAGGTTACCATCAGATTTTCAGAAAAACTAAGTTGTGGGATGCATTCAAATCACAAAAGCATTCAAAATATAAAAAGAATCAAATTTTCTTATTATTCAAATTTAACAGTTGTTACTGATGAGAAATGCATTAGAACAATAATGATTTAATGTTACATATGAATCACTATAGACAAAAGTATAAGATGTTTTAAGAAGTAATCTTTTAGCAAGAAAAAAGTTGATAAACAACAGTTAATATAAAATTAACCAACTTTGCAATAGCTTTGAGTTAATTTTAATTCATAACCATGTTTTAAACTTGTGAAAATTTCAATTAAAATCATTAAACATTATACTTGTAAGTAAAATATAAATGAGAGAACTTGTGCACGTGTTTCTTGTAGGATTTATTGTGTCGTTCTGCATTTTTTAGATTTATGTAAACATGTATGTACATAGATATTGTTGACAATAGATATTTTTAAATAAATCAATTATAAAAGCAATACTACAATACAATATAATATTGCCCATTAAGAATTTCTTATTTCAGTCAGTCCATTTAGATGTTTTTCTTACTAATTCCATCGTTTCATCTGATTTGACCATAATATGATAATTGTTTCTTTTCTGACCAGAATTCATATAAAACAAGTAGCCTGTGCAACCCAACATTGCTATAATACCAAGTATCATAACAGTTTTATTCTGCAAGTAATAAAATTTCATTAAATGACAATATCTAATTCATCTTTATAAAATATTAAATATATAACCTTACTTGTTTGACATATAATTCGAAATTGACAGCGCGGAATAGCGTAGTGCTCCGTAATGATCGTAAGCCATCACCTGGCACTGTTTCACGGGTATTTTTATTCATCACTCTATTTTTTAATATTTTCCATTCACACACTATAAACACATTTTTATGTGTTTCATTAAATAAAATAAACTATATAACCTAAAAAAAAATTTAGAAGTCAACTGCAAACTTTTATTTATGTAATACCAGTAATACTACTGAATACTACCAAATACTATTATCTGGTGTTAGACTGCATTCAGAAACCACACACTGTGTGAAACTCTCTGGCCGGTATTCATAGTCCGTTCTTATATTCAAGATCGTCTTAAGCACGAACTTATATTCGCTCTCTTCGTCAGACACAATCTATGTGTGACGAAGAGAGCGAATATAAGTCCGTGCTTAAGACGATTTTGAATATAAGAACGGACTATGAATACCGCCCTCTGTCTACAGTATAAGTTGCATATATTATAGAAAATAGATAGAGAGTTTTACACAGTGTGGTTTTTGAACGCAGCCTTGAATAAGTTGTGCCGCCATATTTCGAAAAGGCGATTCTCGAGACACATCGAGATGAATATACACGGATAACATGTATAATTATAATTACATAATATTTTCACAAATGCATTAATAAATAACTAACACAAAATATTAATTAACATTATGTCTCAAAGACAATAATCAATAAATTATGATTATAATTAAAATTGCTACAAATGACATGAACATTAAAGTTCGAGTTTTAGTCTAAACAAAAATTTTGATTATTGAATAATTCCAGATTGCTATTTAATATTTATTTTGTATAAAAAGTCGTTTTAGGGAAAGCTTAGGAAGAGTAAAAAGATATTGTTTAAATTTGCAGTAAAATATTTATTTTTAATCAAGCTTTATATACCGATCTCAATTTCTAAAATAATATTTTGATATTATTAAAAATAGACACTAAATCTAATGAGATTCATTTAAGTTGTAGTACTTGGTCTCATCCGCTTATGACAAAAGATGAAAATTCTTGTTCTTCAAGAAACATTTAAACAGTTTAGCTCCTTTCTGGCAACCGCTTCCATCTGAAACAATATTTATTTTATTCTATTTCTGTTTGTAACGATAAAAAGACATTTATCTCGAGGAATGTAAACTGATTTCATCTTTCTAAATTGATATTGTACTTACCAACACCTTGGCACTTATTTTGTAATTGATCGACTTGATCTTGCAATACGTCAGATGGTACTTTTGCCCGAATTACTTCCCAGTTAACATCTCCATCTGCACTTATCTGAAACATGAATAAAAATGTGATATTTCTTTCAAAATAAATATCATGTTAAAATAACTCAAGACTCGTTTTTGCACTTACGAATCCAATTTTTTGTAACAAACAATTGGCGAAGCAGGCGAGTTTTTCATCATTTTCGGCCATTTCTCCGCGTTTTGCATTTTCTACCGCGACTGAAAATTGGATAAAGTAATAATTGGTACTTTTTATATATTTTTACTCATTTTTTTTTTTTATATATTTGTATATTATTTTATTAAACATAGTATTATAATTCACATTATTAATATTTTCCATTGCTAATGATTTCGAATCAAACTTATCATGTGTAATACAAATATTATTAATCATGAACTGTTGGTTAACTACGCAAAGTTATTTTTTTATTAATTGATCTAATATTCTTTGTTATTTTAAGTTTAATTAAGTAAATAAAAAATATTTAATTTGGAAATGGAAAGCATTAATGACACTTAATTATATTTTATTCTATGCTTACCTGGGTCAACACCAGTTTCACTGATACAAGATTCTTTATATGTTTTTAATCTTGCTTTTTGCTCGTCTGTAAGTCCACCCTAAAATCAAATATATTTTCGCGCATTAACAATCACACAGAATAATATTGGATTTTGTAATAAACTCTCGTTAGATGTAATCCGGTCGAAAAACGCTCGTACAGTGCAGATTCGTATTAAATAAAACCGTATTATGACTAATTATCTGCATATTATATTATATAATTATTATAATAAGAAAAGTAAAAAATATGATTGTGTTATATAGTGAAAATGAGCAAACATGATTATTATTGATAAAATTTTTGCTAGACAGCTTATATTTTAAGAATACAATGGCTATACAATATTAATTAAAGCCATTAAAATTTCAATATATATTTATATATTTTACTTTATGCTAAAACATAAAATAAATACCGAATTTGTATTAACTAAAAAATAAGTTGTATTGTATTGTACTTTGAAAAAAATGGGCCGTATTAACGATAAATAATCTTACCAAGGCAGCGACGACGAAAACGACAAGTATAATAACGATTGCCTTCATGTTTGATTTCTGTTTCGGATGCGATGGGATTCACGTTTAAAATATTATGGATATTTAAGAAATGCTGTCCAGGTTTTTATAGGCTGAGATGTAATGACGTGTATTCTCCTTGACGTTCGACATCGTTGGTGGGGAAATATTGCAATAAAATATGCCTCGGAGGAAAAACATGTTATTCCTCCGAGGCATATTTTATTTGATTAAAAACAAAAAATACAGTTTTATCCGATATAATAAACTATCTGATATAATAATAAATTATAATAACATATATCTCATAAAATACGTGTGTGCGTTTTAAAGTTTCGAAATCTTGCTATCAATTTTCAACGGCAAATATTAATAACAGAATTTTTTTACAGCCAATATTTAATAAAAAAGTTTAATTTTTTATCATTTAATTTTATTTTATTCTTGTTTGTATATTATTAACAAATTTGTGCAAAATTTTTAAATTTCTAACATAAATTTTCTTTATAACAAAATTGAAAGAAAGAACCTTGAATTTTAAACACTATGAGATAGACTTTTCTTGATATAAAAAGAGGTGAAGAAAAAGATTACGCAAATTTTATTTAGAAAAAATGTGAATGAGCATGTTATTAGGGAAGCAAATGTAATTATCGTAAATTGTTTAGTTACATAACGATATGTCATGACACAGCAGTAATAAAAATAAAATACCAAATCTGACATCATTTAATGACTTCCATGAAGGTAATATGGAATATCATTAGAGCCTTCTCTCTCTTTTTCTCTATCTCAAACATTAATTTTATCTTATTATCTTAATGTATCGTGCTGAAACCTGTATTTTTAATTTGAATTAATTTGATTCAACTTAGTGCCTGCATCATTTATATACTTTAAAGTGTCACTAGTTAGAATGACATGTTGATTAAAATTATAAAATTTATGATAAATTATTAAATTAAAAATAAAATTACGTTATTGTTCTAAATTATATAAATTTATTAATATTGTTGACGTATATATATATATATACATATATTTGGTTGATTCAAATAATTCATCAAAAATAAATATTTGAACTTACAAAATAATTATTAACTAAAGTACTAAAGTTATGTTGGGCAGGTAATTAATGCAAGTAAAAAATATATTTTGAAATTTGATTTTAGCTCTCACTATACACACATTGAGGTTGCGTTCGGAAACACACACTGTGTGCACACCAACACACAATAACCGTTCGGAAACACGTTAGTGGTACTTAATGTGCATTCGGGTGAATCGTTCGAAAACGTTGAACGAGTACCACCAGTGTGCCACGAAACCACTCGCCGAAAAAGCAAGGGGAGTCAGTGGCTGCGTTCCGTAAAGAGCATATGCGCGCATGTATCTACAGTATGTAGATGCATGTACAGCATGTATACGTTACGTATACTGTAGATACATGCGCGCATATGCTCTTTACGGAACGCAGCCAGTGTGATTCAAGAGTAACGTTTTCGAACGTAACCTTAGAATGGCAAAGATATTCACTAGGAAAATAAAACTGCTTAGCTTTGAAAATTATATACAAATCGCGATATATGAACCTACATACATTTATAAATTTGCATTTGTCGTATAATGTAGCGACTGATATGAGTACATATTTTGTAATTATATAGTACTTAGAAGTGCGTGCGCCAAAAAATTCCTGAGATTCCTAAATTGAATTAAAAAGATTGATCGTGGGACAAGGAGATCGAAACGCGAAGACAATTAGATTTTAGTGTCACTATAGATTGTCCGGATGACACGATCGAAATCAAAATATCCATCAACGCATAACCAACTGTTCGGAAACACTCTACACCCGAAGGCACACGATATCCTCACTACTTCTCCACTGAAAATCACCACACTACACAGAGTGTGAGGTTTCCGAACGTAGCCTAATTTACACGGAAAGTGTAAAAAAATATAAGCCAATCATAAGCTGCTAATTTAATAATTTAAAATACTTAAAATACGTATTGCCGACATAAATATACCTAAAATTAAAAACTACATGTACAAGTCAATTGATTATTTTTATCTTTTACATTGAACATTCGAACAAGTTAATAACTTTTTTTATTGCAATAATAAATATAAATTTAATTTAATTTAATTTAACATCATATAATACAATAAACACAAAAAATCGAGTTTTTAAAAAATTTATTTTGACCATACTACTAAAATTAAAAATTCATGCTTAGAATCAATTATATATAACCATATATTACCTTACTTTACGATGTTGACTAAAACCTGTTTCTTTGATATTTTTAGTCACGGAGTCATCAAAAGATTATTGGATAGAAGTATTTTTTTGATAAAATTTTCTAAATAATATGCATATATTTCTCTCAGTAATAAATATCAGCTCTCTAGATGTACAATTTATTAAAAATTATTTAAAAGGAATATTGATAACAAACATTAAACAATATAAATATCTTCTGCTAATAAATACATAGCAACGGATACAATCAAATTTTCTTCATCAAGCAAATTATGTAGATTAAAAAAATATTTATTATATAGATTTAAAAATATTTATATATATTAAAATATATATGTTATTTATAAATAATAATATTTATAATATTCATATTATTTGCTTCAACATTGTTGTTACTTGAATTGAATATACATTAATTAGGATATATAATTTCTGATTTGTTCAATTAAATCTAACAATAAAAATTGTGTTATTGTCTTTACAAAATTACAAAAATTTAAATAAAATTAATTTTATTAAAATAAAAATAACGAATAGAATGATATCAAATACGAAAGGATGAATTCTTTCATAAAAATCATACTATTGACATATTCAAAATGTTTAAACAAGAAATGCTTGGAAAGTTATCATCTCGTTCTATTAATTCAGTGACTCGTTTTCAGAGTAGAATAGATGTAATATGGCTCCGAAGGGTCTCTCTTCTTTCGGCCAAACTCGTTTTACAGGAATGCCTTAACACATGAACTTGCACGAGTGTGAATTTCACAAGCCAATTCAAATGTGCCTTGACACTCGTTGACAAATTCATATATTAAGGCATTCCTGTGATCGTGTGTAAGTGGATAGAACAGATCATAGATATAGTAGTATGAATAGACGGGAATATGCAGTCGCTAATTAAACGCTACCAAATGATTGGTAGAAACCGAATGTTACTAGAGATTAACTTAAACTGCATTGAAAACGGGCATTGACAGCTTGTGGCGGTACTTTTTTTATACCCTTTACTATTTTCATGGTTAGATTAGGTTAGTCTATATGCGATGTTGTGTTTCTGTTATACAAGAGTACGTGAAATAGAAAGTTGACGTCTCACAGTTAAAATATAGAATGGAGATTTCTGTAATCAATCAGCTGTTCCTTTGAACAGATATCACAAATCTACGTGATATAACGTTATAAAAATTATGAAACAATGAAAATAAACAGTAAATATATTCGTAACCCGTTTATCGCTTAAGTTTTGTTATGAAAATGACGTATCCCGGGCTGGTACTTCTCGTCGGAGTTGGAGTTGGAATAGCGACTTTCTTGTATTATGTGTTCACTGAAAGTAATCGTGAGAATGGACAACAACTACAATATTCTAGAAATCGAAGATCATCGGACCGTTATGACGACTGGACGATGGCATCTCACCGATCTGAAAAGTATATCCATATTATATATATTACATCATTAACAACATGGTTTAACTTCTTCCTCTGTACGTTTACTTTATATATATATTAGCAATTAGACAGTTTTATATATATATATATAAAACTATTACTCGCTTGTTTTTAATCTTTAAGAGAGCTGCAAGACATTATGTCAATATTATATTTTGATAAATGCTATGCGTTAAACATATATTTTAATTCCGTTTCCACATAATCAAATTTTCATGATTTAAAAAAATTCTTCAGTCTTCTAAACGTTTATAGATGTATCTGTGAACACTGCAAAAAGTGTACGAAAAAAACTTAATATTAGACAAAGTATGACATGTTTTTATAAAACATATTTATTTTCAGTACGCTGTTAAATAGAAGGAGTTCATCACACTTTTTGAGAACTAAAGAAGAAAAGGATTTTTCGAATAAAGATGATGTGAACAATTGTTCAATTTGCCAATATGCATTAATTGAATCAGAAGTAACAGAGGTGCAACCTTGTAAACATAATTTTCACAAAGCTTGCATTGATGAATTAAAAAAATTTGATCCCACGGTAAAATCCAAATACTAACATGACCATAAGAAGCCTTTGAAAAATAGAAATTAATAAATATATTATTTATGTTGCAGGCTGTTTGTCCTAATTGTAGAACTGTAATGAGCAAACACGCTATTTAAATTTATTATTACATTATATCAGTAGCGGATCTATTGGTATGCTGATGAAGTTTAAGCTTCAGAACTTTGGACTTACCAACCAAATATTCTAACTATTTCTGTATTTGTAGTTGCATTATGCAATTATAAAATATTAATTTTATAAATATAAATTATTTTTCTTTTCTTTTTTGTTGTTGTTTTTGTTTTCTTGAAAAAGTTTTATTTTTGATAAATATTTATAAATTGTTTTTTTCTTTTTTGTTTTTGTTTTCTTGAAGTTTTATTTTTGATAAACTAGAGCTTGAAATTATTGAATATATTAATCCGCTACTGCATTATACATTTCTTTTGGACTGTTGTACAGTCATTGACTATTATAATAATTATTAATTATTAATATATCTATTAATAGTAACATTTCTTACATAGTTTTATTTTTACCATAATTGTTTACCATAATCATATAACATATTTAAAATAATATATACATATTGTTACACAATCTTTTCATATTTAATTTTTCATTGAATTAATCAGATTATATGTATATATATTTTCCAAATTTTTATTTTTAATCATATATTTCGCAGAAAATAAAAAAATAAGGTTTTTAAGAATTGTTACAAATTTATTAGGTAAATACATATGTATGGATCTTTTTGGTGGATATTTTAAAATTGTAAATTGATTGATTTCTAAGAAAAAAAACCAATATAATTCACGATATATATATATAAATATAATATAAATTGAACATCTATATTGTTTGAGCAAAAATAACTTTCATGATTGCACAATATAAATGCAGAGAAATGTCAAATGTAAATTTATCTCTTTTTTTTCTGTTTTAAATGAAATAATCTTATTAAGATTATAATTTACGTTAATAAAATATAATTTTTTTTTTTAACTCAAATTAATAGCACAAAAATTTCGATTATGTTTATTTAGGAGTCATTTTAGGAAAATTATATCTAGTGACCTGTACTATATTTGTTGGCTGTGTTATAAATAAAAAATTATTTTTATTTAATTTTAATAACATAATAAAAGAAATTAAAAATTATACGAATACTCAATGTTAATATAGATAATTAATATAATGAGACACACCACAGTTGTTCTGTTTTATTTCTTTTTTGTTCATCATAAATTAACTCGAAAACTTCTCTTTCGTGATATTTCAATGACAGTCATCGTGGCTACTTGCAGATATGCTTACGTACTGCAACATAAAGCGGTACATACGCGCGACAGTACATGTTCTGCAACGTTTGTCTAGTGAACGGCACGGAAAGTGAGGTAGTCGCACTTTAGTCAGTTATGCGAAAAGCATTTTAACTTGGTAGATATCGACTTTTCAAAGAAAACTCCACCTTTCATGTTATTGTTTTTCTTGTACGCGTTAACTTTGAGTCAAGAATGAGGAAATGAGTGAAAAGAATGCGGATTGATAATTATCGATCGCGTTTCTCATATCAAAATGTGTCGATAGAATAAGCATGACTGGATTATTGTTCATTACACTGATTGTGACTTGTGTGGTCGCGGGATTGCGACTACCTGCAGCTGAAGAAAAACAAAGTACGTATCTCATTGTACCTATATAACTCCAAATATAGTTACAGAACAATTTAATTTATTCTTTTTAATATTTAATTTTCTTATTTAACTTTCATCTTTTTTGTTCTTGTCCTTTTTTGTGTGCAAATATGCAAATATGTAATGTTCTAATTGATGTTTTAACGCTCTATTGCGTGATTTAATATGAGAAAAAAGTGATCTATCCAATTCGCTATAATAATCACAGTATCAGAAGATACATTGTCTTTATAACTATAATATTACAAAAAGAAAAATGAAAAGAAAGAAAATTAAATCTTTCTCACGCTTGTTTTCATTAATTATTTTTTGTTAATAGTGTCGGAATGTGATTTATGTCAATAATAATCAATACGGACTGATTAATCTGCTAAATACAATATAAATTGGTTGCAAATGATCATAATATAAGCGTGAAATTAAAACTGCTTTTACTCAGCTATGACTATGATTCATAATCATTAACAGATGAATATGTTTAAAAAATGAAAAACACAAGTGTAATAAAGTTGGCACAGAATATTCTTTTTCTGTAAAGCGCTTGCGTTTATTCTGTGTACGCGAATGCTGCAGGGCTAAATATCGGTTGTCCCATTTCTGGACCGGTTTCACGATCATCGGAAGAAGCAAAGCGAGTTAAAACGGATTAAAACGAATTACACGTTAATTTTTTATCTCACCCATACTTTAGCATCTTTAAGGATATGTTAAGTGTAATATTTTAGTTAAAAATCATTGAAATTTAGAAACAATCTATTTTTTATTTTCTATTAAAATATCTGTCGTTATATATGCATTTTTTATTTTCTATTAAAATATCTGTCGTTATATATGTATTTCTTATTTTATATTAAAATATCTGTCGTTGTATAAAGTCTAATTGATAAAATACAAGAACACCTGCGAGCTTATTTTATCGCTTTTGAACTAGTATAATGGGGTTACGAGATTCTCGTGCTGACCTACGTGCCCATTTCTTGTAATACAGCGAGGACAGGTAGGCGACCGGAGTTAAAGATGTACGCACACCTAATTATAATTAATAGAGTTAAATATTTTAAAAGTGAATTCAAAGTATTCTTTTTTGTTTTTATATTTTAATTTATAGTCAAGAAAAAGATTTAATAAAAAAAGCTTTTTAGCCTGTTCGGTTTCTGTTTGCTCTAATCTTCTTAGTTTGAAAACTATGTGCATGTATATATTTGTATGATACGTGCTCCGATAAAACTATGTGTTGTATTTATATTGAACGCATTGTCTCGCAATGATTATTTTTCTATATTCTAGTAAGAAGATTAACACAAGATTGGGCACCTTTAGTATGGCTTGCGCCTGGAGAACGATTCTTGCCTCTTGGTGTGACTGAATTTCTCGATAACGTGCAATCAGACCAATATTATCTTCGCACTAAAATAGACGTAGGTAAATGACATGAATGCGTAACACACACACACACACACACACACACACACACACACACACACACACACACACACACGCGCGCGCGCGCGCGCGCGCGCGTAAGAAAAGTAAACACTTAAAGATGTATTGGTTATATTAGTTATTAGTTAAAAGTTGTTAAAATTTAAAAACATTTTTAACGCACACTAAAATATCAAATAGATATAAGTACAGGCGTAACACAAAGTATGAATGTTATAATAATAATGATACAATATCGATATTTTAAATGATACAATTTTGACAGAATCCTTATTAAAGAATCAATCGTCCTTCTTATATGGCCGAAAACCCGCTGGAACTGTGCCCGTCTATGCTCTTGTGAAAAATTGCGTTTTCCGAGACATGCGATTACGCGTAACGAAAAATAAACCAGCGCCGAAGAACAAACAGAACGCTGTAACATTGCTACAGGATCCGGGAGTTTTGTCTCCACAACAGATTGCCGATACTAATGATCTAAAAACACACTTTACATTACAAGAACAATTGCAACAGGTAAAATATGAAAACAGAAATATAAGAAATACGACTTTTACATCTTTTGGAAATTTTAAATATTGAATTGTAATCACCACAGACTACCTCTTCTTTTTTTCATCTATAAGAAAATAAGAATAAAGTTATACTGTTTCAAACAGCGTTTTCGGCGTCCCTCATGTACCTACTGTTATAAAATCCAGGACTATTCAAATAAATTATTGTTGATTAATGAATCTAAAGCAAAAGTTTTAAACTGAAAATGCTAAATTATTAATGCTTGGTGTAAAAATTAATTTCAGATGGTAAGAGAACCACGATTTGAAAAAATCAGAAAAAAAAACGGATATCAGAAGATTCACTTCCATGTAACTTATTGGATGTTCTATCCGTTCAGTGAGGGAAAAACAATTTGCATGCTGGATCTTGGATTTCTTGGCAGCTGGCCAGTACCCACTGTGGGTGGTGTGTGCATAGGTACGCTCAAAGAATATGGCAGTCATATTGGCGATTGGGAACATATGAGTCTTTATTTCCAGGTATAATTCCTTCTTTAGAAATTTTTCAAATAAATCCGATTCTTTGTTTACCTTTGAATATTGTACGGTTATCTAAAATAAAATGTATTCTATAATATAGTATTGTTATTTAGAATAATGAGCATCCTTTGGCGATGTACGTGTCAGCGCATGACGTCGGTGCATTTTATCGGTACGATCAGCAAAATGGCACTTTCATTTACGAAAGTCAAGAAACAAGGAAGGGTCTTTTCCAAAAACTGACGTTTCCTGAAAAAGTTTACACGGCCGGTGGTTCGCACCCGATTTTATTCAGTGCACGCGGTTCCCACGGACTCTGGACAGCTCCAGGAAAACACAAGTTTGTTCGAGTCCCTCGTCTGTATGACGAAAGTGGATTTGGAATCGCTTGGCCGACATGGAAAAGACTGGAATTGCTCTTAGAAAAAAATAACGAGCCCTTACCGGGCTGGATGATTTTTAAAGGCAAATGGGGTAATCCTAGCAGTAATTGTCATCCGCTAGCAAAATTAGGTTTGAACATTTGCGAATTTGTAGATGGTCCGACTGGAATTCCTATGAAAAAATATAATTTTCAGTGTTAAAGCCTACGTCAGTCAATTGAATAAGAACTGTGACAGTCCTTAACTATAATATGTGCTTAACACTTACAAAATAAACGAATGTGATAGTGCGTGCAAAGCGTCAAATTGTCGGCGAGATTTTAGAACAAGAATGCAAGAAGTGATTTTTTTTATAAGCTAAAGGAAGATTCTGCCATCTCATTTTATTTGAATAATCAATATTTATTTTTATGAATAATTAAAAAATTCTTATAATAATTAATAAAAAAATAATTTAGTGCCTTTATAAATGTGTTCATTTAGCGAAAGCTTCATTGAAAATTGACAATCAATATAAAATAATAACAAAAGAGAATTCGATCCTTACAATTTGCATATGTATCAGCATTAGCACTTAGCAGATGATAAGTGGTATCATTGCTGATGCAAGATTGATACGCATTTCGTGCATCTGTAGAGCAGTAACAGTAGGTAAATTATTTTGCAGTAATTGACTGATTGACAGAATTCACAATCGCGTTACTCTCTCCACTCTCAAATGTTGTAGAGACTTTATTCATTTTTCTATACTCTTAATGCAATGTAGAACTTCTTAACGGTTAAATATTTATCATTGAGAAATAACTCGACACTAAGCAGATTTATTCAGAAATCTCATCTTCATCTGCTCCTTCGATACCAATGCTACGTATGCCATTTCTCAACAATGGTGTACCCTTATCTTTTGCTAAAACACGTGCATTCAATACAATTTTCAATGGTGTACCCGACGAGCAACACATCACTTCAACATTCTCTTTTAGTATTTTTTCTTTAGATGCCAACAGCTCTATCTTCAACCTGATAAAAATACCTATTATTTCAACTTTTGCATTAACTTAAATAAGTGTAATGTGTGTGTACTAATTAAACTCTTAATTGTTAAGACATCAAAATGCTTAATTATAAATTAAAAAAGTTGACATTTAATTTAAAGATAATATATTAATTAAAAATTATAGAATATTATTATATATAGAAATAATAGAATAATCTATTTTGTTTTATGAAAATAAATTTTAGAATTTTGATGTTAGATATGAATTTAAAGATCATAAGAACCCTCAGAAATCAAATATGATGAAAATAGAATAATTTTTCCAAATTATAGCTGCTATATTGATTAAAGTTAGTTATGAGAATTTAATTAGTTTTATACCTTAAAGCGTCTTTTTCTTGTGTAAAATCGACAACGTGGCAATTTGCATTGTAATTTCCTGCGATTACTGCTGGAGCTGCTGTTTGTTCTTCTGGATGAATACACATATTCCATGGTACTGAGAATTCTATGTGATATCTAAAATTAATATACAGAATATATGAATGTCTTCCTTTTTTTATATTTTTTGTGTATATCAATAAAAATAGTAATAGTTTTGTAATTATATTACAATAAAAACTATTTAAACTCTTAATTTTTAGTATTTCAAAGAAACAGTAATTGTTAAACTCCAAAATATTAATTTAGCTCATAAATTTTGTTACAACAAATGACCTGTGATGCAATTGCAAAAATCCTAGATGAACATCAATATGGCCATGTCGTTGTGGCTGTACCATAATATTGTTATCCTTTCCAAGTCCACTTCCACCACTGAAGTGTACATGCTGCTCTAAACACATAAAAGATAAATAAATTAAAAGTAAGATATTTTACGTATAACTTTTTAGTAACTTTTATTATCAACAATTATTTGTTTAAATAAATATATAATACAAGTCATATATGACTATATTAATTTTAAAAGAGTGAGAAGAATATTATCAATTTTCCAAATTTTGAACTTAATTTATCTAATAGTAAAATTTCATATGAAAGAAAGAAAGAGAACGTTACTCTATATTTTCGATTTATTTTTATACAAGAAATCATCATCATTTCGCTTAATAAATATGCAATTAAAATAATCGCATTATACTAACTAATTGACATATAGATAGAAAAGTGGTACGTGATTATGCATTAGAAAATTGAAAACAAAAGTTCTTATAAAAATAAACGTATGATCATTGCATACAAAAAAGATAACTAAATACCTTTATCTCCCATTTTCCGTAAAATAGTTTAAAAAATTTGACAATTGTATTTTCATACTGCTTGCGAATTATATTAATGAAACCAATCAAATCATTGTTGCTTCAAACAACTCACACATATTCAAAATTTGTAATTTAGGTTATGAACTGATAATCCTAAACTATATACATACTAGAGAGTACAAACTTCTTCTAACAGTGAAGGTCAGTTTCAACGCCGCCCAGTTTTGAAACCCTGAGAAAATTAAAATGAGTGATGAGTAGTGAAGAACAAGTTTAGATGGAAATACTCGTACACTTGCAAACTTTGTGCATGTAGTGACCGCACCTATTATTTGCGGCATTCACATACATTTATACATACGCTTGCACATGCATTTTCATATAAGTTATTAAAAACTTCAAAATAATTTAAAAGTGCGAATAAAGTAGAGAATTTCACAAGAGAAAATGTACTTGCTGGCGAGATGGACTCGATTCCAACACCATCCTTTTTTTATTAATAAAAAAGAATGGTACATGTAGAGCCACAGAGAAATTTGCACTACTGCACATAATGTGATACAGGAACAATAATAGAATAAAATGCGAAATCGTATTTTGGTAATAAGGAAATAAAGGTAAGTCAAGTAAAGCAATGCACAAGTATATGTACTTACAAATAAATATAGAACATAAATAAAGAAGAATACAACAATATTTATGTACATCTCGTTAAAATATTTATTTATTAAAACATCTTCAATTTACTATCTATTGAGTATATATTTTATAAAGTACAAACATTGTTTTTTATCTAAATAAATTTTCATTAAGTTTTATGAATACTATAAATTTACATAAGAAGATAGTCATATTATATACATCTCTAGCATTGTCATATAGAATTAATAAAAATTTTCATTTGCATTATATTCGTGCACAAAAATTAACCATAATATTACAAATAAAGAACAAGAACTTTAGGATTCATCAGGATATAAATAAAATTTAAAACAATTCATGCAATTGCGCATAGTGATTTCTATTTTCGATAATAGTTCCCGATCTGTTTTTACATCAGATATTGTTATATCATCACCCAATATGTTGAAAAGTACTGAATAAGTAATACCCAATTCAAGCCACATAAATGTTTTGGTATTATATAAAGATTTTTCATGTGGTAATTTTTCAACTGTTTCAAATAAAAGTGCTATTTGCTTCATATATATTATCATCCGTTTACCTTTGTCTTGCTCAAAGCCTGCAAAATATTTGTATGCTATGGATATATATAATATAATTTCTCCATGAATTGTCGCGTCCTTCTCCATAGTAAAATAATTTATTGCTATTTCAAACCATGCTATAACCTTTTCAAAAACTATTTTAATATCACTTAAATTTGACAAATATTTATCAGAGATCTGAGTAAATGAAATCTTATCTTTTAGCTCTTCTTCCAAATCAGTAAATATTAAATATTGTGCTAATTTTTCTTCCGATTTTGTAGAATTGAAACATTCTAAATTATCAACTTCACAAGATTGATTTTCTTTACTTGGTAATAATTTTTCTTTTGACGCATGCAAAAGCTGAATTCCATATTGTCCGCATAATTTAGCAATTTTCGCATATTCATATGGATAATACTCTGTACACAACGTATTCGATAGTAAATTTGAATCTCTGTCATTTATTGTTGTCTCTGTCATCTTTGTTAATGTTTCCACATTAGCTTTCTTAAGCATACAGTAAGCAGCGGCAATATAATGTCTAGCTTCAGTAAAGCGATTGTGGTGTATAAAATATAGAGATAAGTCAGCTGCAGTCATAGCCCAATCCTTATAATATTGACGTATAGACTCTTCCTTTATTAGATTGTTCAATAAATTATGCATACAGTTAACAAATTCATCCATGTACATGTCTGGATTATAGATATACTCTATTAATAGCGTTTGTAATATTTCTAGGTAAAAATTGTCTAAAACCATTTTAGTATCCAATTCTTTTACATCTTCTCCAATGCCAAGTGTAATTGCAACATCAATAGGAGTAGAATATTCATTTTTTGTGTATTTAACATACGTGTTGAGAGCATGAAATAAAAAATCCTTATTTTCTTCTACTTTTAGTTCTTCTAACAAAATAAATGAAATTTTATTATATGCTTTCATAATTATCAAAATAGCTTTACTATCTAGCTCTTTGCCTTCTAACACACCTAGACATGCTAGGAAGAATTTCTTTGCATTTGTATATAGGCTGCATGTATTTTGTTCCATTTTATTTTCTATTTTCATGCTATTTGCAAGTAGGGTGTCTGTATTTTTTTTCATATTTCCTTCTATTTTCATGTGTATTATACCAAAATTTAATAAAGTTAATGCAAAAGCTACAATGTTATCAAATTCTATATCTGTTTTGTTGGTCATTGGTTTAATCATCTTAAGTATTTTGCTTTCTAGTGTTGTAAATATCTTGTTTTCTTTTTTTGGAAATTTTCCTATTTTATTTAATGAAAAACTAAGTATTTGAAATGATGTTTTCAACATTTCTCGAAATTTTTCATCAATATTCAGCATGATTTTTTCGGATAATTCCTCAGCTAAACATAAATAAATATTAAAAGATTATTTTATGAATTTTATAGAAAAGTATTTTAAACAGATTTTTACTTACAATTATTACCAGATATGCTCCTCTGTTTCGATAAATATAAATCAGCTAGCTTTAGAATTTCCAACATTTCAGACATTTTTGTTTAATATCGGGATGTGTTTTCTTATCAATAACTCACAAAATTATTATTATTGTACACGTGGCGAATTTATTCAACGTGTCATGAAGAATGAATTGGAAGGAATTCTGATTGATGTAAAAATAGGTTAAACCATGAGAAAAATAATAGGTGAATTGAACACGAATTCCAAAATACGAAGAAGTGAGGCAATAAATCTGATTGGCTATACAATTATCGATAGACATACAAATATATATCGATAAAGAATGATAAAGGTCGATATCAAAATTTAATAACTCAGATCTAATCGGCATATTTGGATCATATTAAATGTTTTCATTCTTCATCTGTTATTAAAATATTCTCACAAGATAACATTCTGTTTCTGTTGTTTCTACAAATATATAATAAACAAATTACATGAACATACATTGAAAATAGACAGCATATTCTTCTTAAATTATTTAATGAAAAGACGCGTTTGCATTTTGCATTTAGTTTTTGTTATATGTTAATTTTATTTTAATCTTTCCTAGCGCACGCGGAAGTTCGTAGTTCATGGTTCCACTGATGTTGATCGAAGATGGATTACGAAATAATATTGATAACAATCGATCTCAAAAATAATCCACTAACATTCATGTCGCACGCAAATAGCGGAAACTAAGCCGAGCTCTGCGCTAATCATCCCTCGAAAAATGTCGAGGCGGTTGCTTTCGAATTTCCAGTAACTAGTTGTATTAAAACATCGTTATCTTTACACGAGATTATTTTTGTATCTTTTAATTTATGTTTGTTTGAAAAAAAGGAAGGGAGTGAAAAGAATAATATATAAAAGTAAAAAAGAAACAATTATAGAAATCATGCTTTTATTATTTTTATTTCTTACTATTTTATTATAAAGGACAATAGTTTATAAATTTTTTATAGCTACAGTTCTAATAATACTGGGGTATAGTTTTAAAATTTTAGATGGACCTTAAACTCCTTTATACAATTATTGTAATATTATATTTATCAAAAGTAATATTCTTTCTATTTGTCATAATGCTTTATTGTATTTAGACAGTATTTATATATACAGTAAAAAAAGTTTATTCCTTTTTTCTCTAAAAAAAAGTAGAAGCAGAAAAAAAAGAACATTCGTATAATTTTCCAATGATTTTTTTGGATTACTTATTACGTATTGATTTGTCGTTTTATAATATTTTATGTGAGTACCAAAATTTAATTATCAGTATTTATATGAATCGACGCATTTTCTATCGGAAAATATCTTTTCACATAAAAAAACCTGTTAAAATAGAATCAAACTATGTACAATAAGTAGATATTACATAGAAAAATATTAAAATTTTATAGAAAGAAAATTTAAGCATTTGTTATTGGCATTTAAAAATGTAATGACTATACAAAAATGAGTTAAAGATTTTTGAAATTTTAAAACAATCTATTTCTCTTATTTTATATAAAACACTAAATAAATTTTTACTATACAAACAATTACAATATCATTAACATTAATTTAACGTTTTTTTTTATAAAAAAAATTTCCAATTAATGCATCTCAATAAAATATTTATTTATTAAAACATCTTTCATTTACTATCTATGTTGAGTATACATTTTATAAAGTACAAACATTGTTTTTTTATCTAAATAAGTTTCCATTAAATGTTATGAATACTATAAATATTACACTGGAAGATAGTCATATTATATACATCTCTAGCATTGCCATATAGAATTAATAAAAATTTTCATTTACATTATACTCGTGCACAAAAATAAACCATAATATTACAAATAAAGAACATGAACTTTAGGATACATCTAAATATAATTTAAAACAATCCATGCAATTGCGCATATTGGTTTCCAATTTCAATAACAGTTCCTGATCTGTTTTTACATCAGATATTGTTGTACCATCACCTAATATGTCTAAAAGTGCTGAATGACTAATACCCAATTCAAGCCACATAAGTCTTTTGATATTATTTAAATATGATTTGCGTGGTAATTTTTTAACTGTTTCATATAAAAATGCTATTTGCTTCTTATATATTATCATCCGTTTATCTTTGTGTTGCTCAAAGCCTGCAAAATACTTGTATGCTATGGATATATATAATATAATTTCTCCATGAGTTATCACGTGTTTCTCCATAGTAAAAAATTTCATTGCTGAATTAAACCATTCCAAAACCTGTTCAAAAACTATTTTTAAATCACTGACATTTGACAAATATTTATCAGAGATCTGAATAAATAAAATCTCATCTTTTAGCTCTTTTTTCAAATTAGTAAATAATAAACATTCTGCTGATTTTTCTTCGGATTTTGTAGAATTGGAACATTCTAAGTTATCAACTTGACAAGACTGATTTTCTTTACTTGGTAACAATTTTTCTTTTGACGCATGCAAAAGCTGAATTCCATACTGTCCGCATAATTTAACAATTTTCGCATACTCATATGGATACTCTGTACACAACGTATTCGATAGTAAATTTGAATCTCTGTCATTTATTGTTGTCTCTGTTATCTTTGTCAATGTTTCCACATTGGCTTTCGTAATCATATAGGATGCAGTGGCAATATAATGTCTAGCTTCAGTAAAGCGATTGTGGTGTATAAAATATAGAGATAAGTCAGCTGCAGTCATAGCCCAATCCTTATAATATTGACGTATAGACTCTTCCTTTATTAGATTGTTCAATAAATTATGCATACAGTTAACAAATTCAACCATGTTGTCTGGATTATAGATATACTCTGTTGATAACGTTTTTAATGTTTCTATGTAAAAATTGTCTAAAGCCATTTTAGTATCCAATTCTTTTGCATCTTTTCCAATGCCAAGCGTAATTGCAACATCAATAGGAGTAGAATATTCATTTTTTGTGTATTTAACATACGTGTTGAGAGCACGAAGTAAAAATTTAAAATGTTTTTCTAATTTTTGTTGTTGTAACGAAATGAATGAAATTTCATTATATGCGTTCATAACTATCAAAATAGCTTTACTATCTAGCTCTTTGCCTTCTAACACACCTAGACATGCTAGGAAGAATTTCTTTGCATTTGTATATAGGCTGCATGTATTTTGTTCCATTTTATTTTCTATTTTCATGCTATCAAGAAGGGTGTCTGTATTTTTTTTCATATTTTCTTCTATTTTCATGTGTATTATACCAAAATTTAATAAAGTTAATGCAAAAGCTACAATGTTATCAAATTCTATATCTGTTTTGTTGGTCATTGGTTTAATCATCTTAAGTATTTTGCTTTCTAGTGTTGTAAATATCTTGTTTTCTTTTTTGGAAAGTTTCCTATTCTATTTAATGTAAAAACTAAAGTATTTCAAATGATGTTTTCAACATTTCTCGAAATTTTTCATCTATATTCAGAA